GAGAAGCAGGCTTCCCGCTGAGCAGGGAGCCCGACGCAGGGCTCGATCCCAGGACCCTGGTATCATGACCTGAGCCGAAGGCAGATGCTTAACGACTGAGCCACCCAGGTGCCCCTCACATTTTATTTAGATTGTAGCAGAAGGCTTTCACTTTAATATGTCCTAATTCTAAAATGATTTTTAGAAGTCATTTCAGCTATTTTTTATTAGGTTACGGAAAAGCAAGACCAGCAAATGTAGTAAGTGTCTATGTTTGGCTGGGTTTTTTCCTAACAGAAATTTTATTTTATTATTCTTTTAATTGAAATACTGTTGATACACAATGCTACATTAGTTTCAGGTGCACTGTGAATCACTATGTTAGTGATTCAGTGTCTCTATACATTATGCTGTGCTCACCACAGTGTAGCTACCATCTGTCACCATGTTACCATACCATTAGCTATATTCCCTATGCTGTATCTTTCATCCCTGTGACTTATTCATTCCATAACTGGAAGTCTGTACCTCCCACTCCTCTTTGGCTGTTTGTTTATTTTAAATTAACTTTTTGGATTACCTTTTAGGAAAGAAGTGCTTTCCTAGACATGTAAACTTGACTGTATATTTATACTTTATTACCTATAAAAATGTAACCAGAGCCTAGAACAATCTTGGGCACACAATAGACATTCAATAATGACTCACTGAGTGAAGAGATGTACGGTGCACTCTGTTAAATAAAGAGCAACAGATTGTTGGTGATTCTAATCACTCTATTTTGGTATAGAATGTTGGTGGTCTCCAGTCTTTACACCAAAATTTCTTCTTCCTTCAATATGCCATAATTCTTATGATCACTTTCCCAAACTTCCCTGGGTACATACTGTCTCATTTTCTGTTTTTAAACTTGATACTTTAGAGTTTAATTCATCAAGCATTTATTGTATACCTACCATGTGTATTTTGTTGCACCCAGGAGCAAAAATGAGAAAACCTGGTACTCATAGATTCTAGTAGAATAACTAATACAGAAGTACAGTTCTGGTTTGCTACCTGAGCTAATATATGCATGCAACAGGAGCCCATCATTTAGGAAGGTTTTCTAAACTGTCCCAAACCCCAAGTTTTTGATACACTCCTCATTGGGAGTAGGTATGACATATCAACATTTCCTATGGAAGATACGTAATTTTAGAAGTTATCAAGTGATTCTAATATGCCCTGCCTACCCTCCTCCTTACTTCTCAACTGAGAACTACTGATGCACAAGGAATAAACATAGTACAGGGAAACAAATGATTGGACCAGCTTCACAAAGAAGGATTTTGAAAAGAATCTGCTATCTGGTTCTCAGATTGTTATTTTTTCTGTTTTATTTCGACATATATTATACAAAGATTTAACATGTGCTGGACATTATACTAAGTGCTGAGGATTCGATACTGAGCAAAATTCCTGCCTTCGTGCAGATTACATAAGGGAGACAAGAAACCACTGTAGATAATTACTGTGATCAGTGCTGTGAAAGAGAATACAATGAGTAATGAGATCATATCCTGAGGGACCTAAACAAATCTGGGGCAGAGGGGTGGGGGACTGAGATAAGAATGTGAGCAACCATTCATTGCCTAGGCCTAAGAGAATGGGGAAGAGTGAGTAGAGAGAAAAGATTTTTGACCAAAAAATGGCAGTTGTTTAAAGATTTCCATTTGAAGAGGTCAGGGGCAGAGGATACATTTATCAAATGGATATAGGCTAATTTCAAGGCATCCTAACCGAGAGGTAAGATTTTCTTCCCCTCTAACTCAGACGTTCCCTAAGGAGGCCCCCACAAACACAATAATTGTATTAGTTAGTGATAAAGCTTATTTAGGGTCACAGGAAATGTATTTATGAATTTGAGACTCAGGAGTGCACACCAGTCTCTCCTCTAGCCGACTGAAAATGGAATTCACCAAGTATTCAGATGGAAATGTGTTTATGTACTTTAGTGTCTTATGGTAGAATGCTAGCTTTAGCATTATAACGTATAGCAGGAAACCATCCATTTATTCATTCCTGCATTCAGGAATTTTTGACAGAGCACCACTAAGTGCTAGAGATATAAGTGAGTATGATGGACTCTGCCCTCAAGGAGCTACAGTGTAGTGAAGGAGACGGTCATAAAAACACACCACTGTGCTACCACATGGGGAGGGTAAGAGTTGAGCTACCACATGGGGAGGTTAAGAGTTGAGCTACCACATGGCGAGGGTAAGAGTTGAGCTACCACATGGGGAGGGTAAGAGTTGAGCTACCACATGGGGAGGGTAAGAGTTGAGCTACACACAGAGTAGTATTGACTTTGGTATCCAAATGTCCTTATTATGGGAAAGTACAGAGAGTCCAAAGCATGGCCCAGAAGTAGCATTATTCAAAATGATATTTTGCACGCCTGGATGGCACAGTTAATTAAGCATCCAACTCTTGGTTTCGGCTCAGGTTGCGATCTCAGAGTCATGAGATGGAGCCCCACATTGGTTTTGCGGCTCAGCGGGGAGTCTGCCTAGTTTCCCTCTCTCCCTCTCTGCCCCTCCCCCCTGCACTCGCACTCACACACACGTGCTCTCTCTCTCTCTCAAATTAATAAATCTTAAAAAAAAAATATTTTGCAGATCACATTGTTATGGGGAGGGGGGAGAAAAACCATCTTGGTCAAAAGGTACAAACAGATGATTTTTCCCCCAACCTAGGCCTTACTAACCTCTCTTAAATGTTCCACTTTGCCTTTCTTTCTTTAGTTTTCTTCTTCTTTACACTTCCTCACCCCACAGGAAGCCAAATGTTAAGTAAGGAAATGGTCTTTTTGACAAACATCATTAAGTGGTAATCCTGGAGAGTCGGAGAATGATTACGGCTTCTCTCTACTAAATGTAAAAGTACTCTCTGGTCTAATAACATGAAAGAAAGCACCATCCATATTTCTTTATAACAGGGACAAAATAGATCATACAGACTCTGTGAGAACAAAGTTCTGTCTGTACAACTTCGAATTTTGCACAGTTCCTTCAGTCTGTGAAACATGTTGATCCTTTTAGGGCCTGACCTTATGTCAGGTGCTGGGGATGCAAAAATGAATAAGACATTGTCCCTGGCCTTCAGGATGTTCTGTAGTGAGATTAATAGACATGTCAAATAAAAAGTACAGTTTGAAATTGCTATCATTGAAGAAAGTACCAAGGGCTGTTGGAGTACAGGCGAATGAATAATAAATTCTGCTTGAAGAAGTCAAGGAAAGCCTCACACATAAGGTGACATTTGAATTGGGTCTTGAGGGATGAGTAGGAGCTGGCCCTCACCTATTTTATATGTAAGTAAATACACTTTTCTCTCTTTGCTGAGCTCTTAGATTCTTTCACCTTCCCGGCAAGATCATGCATTAATATTTTTCAGTTAAAGAAGTGAACAATTTAATTTTTACTGATAGCCTGCGTACTGCCATGAAATAAAAACCTGAGCAAAGTTGGAGTAGAAAAACCAGACCTTGAGCTTGGTGGAAGGGTGGGAGGGCTTTTACTGTGTGGGCACTAGGACTGGGGGAGAGCAGCAGTGATTCAGTGATGCATCCTTGTCATTTCTCTCTCTATGTAGCCATCAGGTTCGGGCGGATGCCACAGGCCGAGAAGGAGAAGCTGTTGGCGGAGATCTCCAGTGATATCGACCAGCTGAACCCAGAGTCGGCTGATCTCCGGGCCCTGGCAAAACATTTGTATGACTCATACATAAAGTCCTTCCCGCTGACCAAAGCAAAGGCGAGGGCGATCTTGACAGGAAAGACAACAGACAAATCAGTTAGTTCTCTTCTGTCTTCATTTGGGGTGGCTGGGTTTGTTGTTGTTGTTATTGTTGTTGTTTTGTCTTTGAGAAGATCATTCACCCTGTTACACACACGTGTGCACAGTCGTGTTTAGCTGTTGGCTGTTACATACTACAGACTGAAACACAGGAAAGGAAATGTTTTCAGATAGGATAAGTAAACCTTATTTTGAAAAGGGAAAAAGTCCTTCAGGTTCTCCTAATAAATTCTGTGAGAATAGTATAAAGCCCCCCCCCTCTTCCTGCTGCCCTCCTTCAGGATCCATATCTTTTCTTGACATCAGAATAACTGGCCACAGCTACATGCATTCCAGCAGCTCGGCTTGTCTCTGGGAGGGGCCTGACCTAGGTTTGGAAAAGGTATTCGGTCCCATTATTTTACAGTTCAGGAGAAATGCTAGAGTTACTTACGAAGTTCCATGTGGGGCATAAAAATACATCTAGATAGTACATTTCCTTTCTTTCCTTGTGGCTCTGTTGATGGCTCCTGGGCAACTGGAGGCTCAATCCTTTGATTACATATGTGAATTTTATCTTCTGTGAGGCTCTGAGCTGCCTGGGCTACTCCTCCCATAGATTCTCAAACATCTGCAGGCTCATTCATTACAGTTTAGAAAACCCAGAGTAGGTTATAATTGTTACTAAGTCCGAAGCAGAACTATTCCTGGATAGGAAGCTGAGAAAGCAATGTGAAATCCAATTAAAACAAGACACAACTACACCTGAATTTGAGTTTTGGTTCTGCGGTCAGCTTGCAGTGTGACCTCGGTCACATCTCTGTCCCCGTTTTCACAGGCAGAGGTCTGACTTTGATGGTACTGTCTGCAGCAGTAGCGTTGTAAGAAGTACAGGACACATTCAGAAGACACCGTCCCAGCCCTTGAAAGTCCTTTTGTGCTATCATTTGTTTTTAAATGTATACCTCCAGGAGAGGCATGCAATTACTTTATAGATATGTGTAACTTTGTCCCCACTCCATTATATTTGGGGGAAAATATCATTAGCCTTTAATGTATTTTGATGATGGTCTCAAAATGTGATTTTTTTTTTCCTTTTAGCTATAAACCATTAGAGTAGTGTCAGCTAATACAAAAAGAAAACTGTGGGGTATTGCTGTGTAGAGAGCCAAATGCCAAGAAGGACAATGAGTTTTCTGACTGCGAGAGAGGATGCTGATACCTGAACAGTATTATATGTGTATCCCGTTCTTTACAAATTCAAAAAATCTTACACGTTCATTACGTTCAAGACACCCAGCCATCTGACAGCTGCTGTTATTATCCTGTTTTTAAAGATGAGGAGACTAACATCCAGAGAGGTTAAACATTCTGCCCTGAGATCACACGGTTAGCATACGGAAGAACCCTATGATCCAGGCCTACTAACTTCTACCTCAGTGCATTCTGAGCATGATACTCCCTCCTGGAAGCTCCTCTTCCCATCGGCTAGCAATGAGCCAGGTGGACAGATGCACTAGGAAAGCTTCATCCTGGGAAAATGTGCTGCATTATGATTTATTTTTACCAATTTTTAGAATGGCAGGAATCTTCTACCTTGTTCTGCTATCCCAATATATTCACAGCCAGGAAATTTTTGTCTTTTGCTCTTTTCTTCCCAAATTTTAACGTCTAGGACAACTGTCTTCCATAGGGACCGGACTACAGACTCTACCTAGTAAAGCTGAGTCTGTGTATTCATTAAATGCCCCCAAAAAATCGGGGTACAGCAAAACAAAAGCAAGCAAAGACCTCTGTTTAGCTGATGTGACTATGGAAAATCAACTGTGTTTATATGAAGGGAGAGAAAGAAAAGGAAAACTAGTGGCCTGGCTAAAAGGGGTTAAGAGCTGAAGGCAGATTGCTGCGGCTTGCTGAGAGCCAGTGTGGGATAGGGACCTGGAGGCTGGGAGGCCTAGAGCTGGGAAGGGAGCATCGACAGGGAAAGAGTCTGAATGCAAACTGTTTACTCCACAGTTTTGCCTAAGGCCATTTAGTTTCCAGGAACTGCTTTCTCACCTTCTCTTTATCTCCTAATCCAGACCTGCAATCCATGCTGGAAATCCTGTCAATTTAACAGTACCTGGAAGATAGGAGGAAAGCATTAAAAAATATTTTTTCCCTCAGTAGTCAAGAATTTAAATGTACACTACCAGTGACTAGCATATTCTCTTATGTGTCACTGAAGGGCAGAGAGCCCAGTCCACTGTAAATCACTAAAACCTCATACCAATTGGCAATTTGGCTCGAAATCTTTGAGTTAAAAATAAGATAATTGTAGGCTCTTTGTGGGATAAATAGGTATTAAGGTATTTTAAGACAAAGAGCTGCAAAATGCTTGATTATAGGCTTCTCCAGTTCAGAGGCCAAATGTTTGTCATGTTTTCCCCTACAGTAACCAAGACTGTGCTTTTGCTCATAATAGTTACTCAGAGTGTATTTGTTTAATTGAATTAAAAACTGTTGCCTATGCCCCTTTGAAATTCTGGACTTTGAACAGAGAGCCTCTAACTAGCCCAATATTTGCTCACCAACCTGGACATCATTAATGGTCTGAATAGAGGCAGAATTGCCCCTTGTTAGGGTCTGGAAAAGAAAGAGAGACTGGGCCAAATTAAAATAATCCATTCCCTGATTACACAAAAACTGAAATAGAATTGTTTGGCTCTCTCTTTTCTCCTTATCTTGCAAAATCAAATTAAGCACTAGTGGAAAGAAATAGTTCAGAGAGAATATGGGAGAGGGAAAAAAAAATCCAAAATGTGATTTCCAATGAGACTAGAGATTTGTTCTTTATCTGACATGGTCATGTTATTTATTTGATAGCATCTCTCTCAGGGGCGTTATGTTATCTCTTGGCCGAGACTTATGAAAGTTAAGATTTGCATTGATAGGATAGGTCGTGCTGAAGTATGGACTCTCGAGAGGGTGGGGGATATGGAAAAGTGGCTGTGGCTGGTGCAGTAGGACAGCGTGGGTCTCATTATAGACCCTGCTTGAGATTGATGTCATTCGTGTTGGTTAGGCCAAGCCTGGGGGAGGCTGCTCAGCATAAAGGATGGCCAGTTACCCAGAATCTTTGTAAGAGGAAACGATGCTATTGAAGAGGCCATTCTTCAAATTTATCTTACTGCTCCATTTAACCATTGCCTGTGCTCTCTCATTTGGGGATATACCTGCTAATCTCTCCTCTTGGGACCTGTACCAGCATTTGCCTGAGGCCAAGCAGGGCCTTCTCACCTAAACTTCCGTCTCCTGTATCTTATTTCCGGGCGCCACTCGCACCTTGCAAAACAGATAAATGAGCAGATAACTTCTGCTTCCCTCCTGTCTTTTTAACTTTGACAGCATGTCTTCAGGATATGATGCCCCTACTTTTCATTGCCTTGCATGCTTGTGAGTTTTAGGCTCAGGGCTAGATAGGATATGGAATCACTGGGTAAAGTTAACCAGAGAAGAAGGTTCACTAGCAGTAAGCCTGTTAGCCAACCTCAAAGGAGGATGGCACTGACTCTTCCCCCACAGTCTCTTTCCTTTTAGTGGCTTGTAGCAGCCCAGCACCTTCTTTAAGAGATCCCGCTGAACTCTGAAAACCGTGAGTCTAGAACCAGGGTGCTGTGTTTCATGATGGCAATTTGAGAACGGAATGGACTTTGAAAGTTCCCAGTGTTTGAATATTACCCTGATGTGATGAACACACTGGGTATATCATTGTCACATGATCCCATGTTTGTGGATGAAAATAAACAAAGTGGTTTTCAAAAACCATCTTCAGTGCCATGGTTTGTCATAAAACAATAAATAGAAAAACCCTTGGTGCGCCTGCCAGCTTTTCATCCCATATCTGAGAGAGGGTGAGGCCCTGGCTGCGCTCTGTCTGCAAATAAGGAATAAAACTTGTTATCTGTACTGTATCGGACTTTGGGTCCCGAAGCATCACATTGCTTTTGATGGGGACATGTGGAGTCACTGTTTTTACAAATACGAAAGCAAACTGGTGCCATCGTAAAAATGGTTTTTCTAAACAGTGTGTGAAACATGAAACCACCGAATAATAAAACCAATATGGAAATGGAAACTTTTGTGAAGACAGTTCTGTACCCATTCAGATGTTCCCATTCTAAAATTTACAGTGGCCATCAAACCTAGTAACTCTCAAGGCTATTGGAAATATATCTGTTCTTTTCTGTCCTGCTCTTACAGCTGAACAAAGGGTGGTTTCTTTCCCCTTCATCTATGGAAAAACCTGAGTGAGTCGGAATTTGCTCCCCTGAGAAGAAAGATCCCAGACAAACTGTCAGAGAAGAGAGACTTAGGAGCCCCTATATAAATAAAGAGCATGTTAGTCATGCTGATTTGTTTGGAGGGCTAATGAAGAAGCTGGGCTCCTGGGATCCTTAATCCAGATATTAATGTGAATAAAATAAATTCCTTTATTGTCAGGAACAGCCAAAGATATAACAGATCTGAACCAATAGTGTTCTTTCAGACAATAAATAAAAAAGATAGAATGAAGAAAAGCAAGTGGATTTTTTTTTTTTTTTTTGGTAATGTTTAGATTCAGTTAACCAATACCCTTGTTTGCCAGCTGAGTAACACTTTGGCTGGCAATGGATGGTTTTTTAAGAGCTGTGGTTATGTGCGAGTTCATTAGAGTGTGAATAATTCTTCCCATTAAGCTTTTATTTGTCTTAAATCTCTAAACCATGCGGGAGAACAGAAGTACATTTGAAAGATTGTTCGAACTTCCCTTCATTCGCATCCAGCTCTTACCTAGCACTTCTAGGAAATAAGAGCTCAAAAGGCACTGTCTCCAAGACCCCACCCTGGAAGAGCTTTGGTTTAAAAGCCGAAATTTCTCCCAGGATAGTCATTTTATTTAAAGAAGGAAAAGTGGAAAGTCATGTAGAAAGCAATAGAAAGGGAACAGAACTAGTCCTGAGTCAGGAGCTCTAGTTCCAGTTCAGGGTTTGCTGTAAATAGTTATTTGACTTTGGCTTCATTCAGTGTATTCATACCTCGCCAGAGAATGATGATGTAGGTGATTTTTGAAGACCCCTTTGGTTCTGTAAATCCCATGGTTCTCAACAAGAGGAAAATAGAAATGGGCAAAACCAGAAGTTGAAGAAACCTAACCAATGCATTTTGATTAACAGTCACCCACTATAGCTAATCCAGGAGAACCATGTATCTCGAAAAGGATGAAAGCCAGTCAGAAGTATAAAAAAGGAAGAAGGAAACAAAATGAAGAAGATAGGCCCTAAGAATTCAGCTTCTCTTCCTTGAGCCTTTGCTCTAATCTGTCATGAAAATTAAGGATATCAGGAGAGCTTCGTGAGAGGAGGCACACGTTTTTTCAGGCCAGTTTTAACTCTGACGTGGTTACCAAGGGATGGTCTGTGAGGGGGTAGAGTTGTCTGTTACATTAATTCCAGTCTCCCAAATTGAAGCAATCATCAGGACAATCTGTGCTTTGTAAGTTGACTTTCTCATTTATCTCCTTTAGCCTGTTACTTTATTATTCAAAAAGAGCTGTAAACTTACAGTGTTCATGCATAATCCCTTTCATAACTTGTATATATATTAAAATGCTGATGTTATGGATTACTTAGTAACACTATTGTTCTGTTTCTCCAGTTAAAAAAGTCAACTTTTATTACCCTACTGTGTTTTCATTATTAAGCCAGTTTCCCCCATGATCGTTGTGTTATACGTTAGAGGCATGCAAGAGGCCTGTAACTAACCTTAATAATCTATATAAAACAGTACCTTTAATCCCATCCTGGCTTTGATAGGTGGAGCCATTCTTGAAAATCGAAATATATCAAAATTAATTACATTTGATGTATTTCTCCAAAGAAAACTAATTTCCTCTTACAGAGACTGTTTTTGCTTCCCAAGAAAAACATTGTGTTGAAGTGCAGTTTCCTTCATGTCAGTCTCACCTTTTTCTGGTCTGTCCAGCATATGAGAAGTGCAGGTATCATAATGGCCAGAGGCAGATTCTCCATGAAGTGAATGAAGCTTAAGTGTCAGGGCTCCTCCCTTGCACAGAGCCCTTTCCAACGCTCTGAGAAGGGTCTGAGCAATTTTGCTCTTATAAGTTGTGTTATTGAACCCAACAATTGTCATAGATGTACCCAATGGTTATGTGCATTTCAGGTCCCACAAAACCTGGATCTATCCCTATAGAGTCCCAGATGTATTTAAACATTCTTTCCTGTTAAGAAGAAATGCTTATCTAGCCATTTGGTACAGTGTCTGAAGATAAATACATCGTTAGCTCCAAATTAGAAATGTAAAATCATTAAGACCAAATTTGAGGATGATATGATTCCTCTTATAATGGTAGATCATCAGATGATACCATACAAGCTAATAGAACACAGAAGGCTGCCCTTTGATTTGTAGAAAATACAGAAATATGGAAGTGAAATTCATTTGCTGTAGAATATTTTACCAGAAGTGTAACATTAAGTTAATGATCCAAGATAAATTACACAGGCCAAATTCCACTTCGTTTTAAGAGGTCAGCTTTCTGTAAATCAGGCAAGTCACTGTCTTTTCCCTGTTTCGGGGGGAGGAGGTCCCAGTGTGAATTGTGTGAGTTAAGTGTTGGCAACCTAAGAATCAGTGAATTGGTGGCAAAGAAGGGCAGATCTCCAGGCAGATCATGTCTGGTGATCACTTTTGCAGTTTGACAGATTTACATGGAGGTCGAAAGTACCTATGCAGACTTCAAAAAAGCAAGGAAAACAGCATAATCTTGGAAAAACAAAAAAAATCCACTTGGTATCCATTTGCATGTCAATACCTAGAATACTTTACCAGTTCACCATTTTTTCAAAAATGCTGAAGGGATTTAAAAAAGAAAAAAAAACAAAAAACAAAACTGGAATGGTTTGGCATGATGGTGGGGGCTGCTGATTCCTTTCTCTGTCCTTGAGTGTTTACTGCCAGGAAATCCTGACCAACATCGATTGCCAAGGGGTTAAAGTCACATTGTTGTTAAATTGGGAGAGAAAATTAGCAGGATTTTGTGCCCTATGTTAACTATCACAGATTTTCAAAAACAGGAACCTGGGGCTTTATATGAGGGGACAGGGGAAGTCAAGGGGAAGAGTCACAGGGTGATTTATCAGGGCATAGTTCCAGATAAATTGCTTACATGGAGGTAGAAGAATTTCATGCATACATTCTGTGCCAAGAAGCCAAATGGTTGAGCAGAAGCTCATCCCGGAGTTGAAGTGGGCAGCTCTGGGTACAGTCTTTCCATATGTGAAGAGGGGATGATTTATATTCATGTTATTTTGTACTTATGTATGTACAGCTACCTGTATGGTATCGATACCATCAGATTCCCATGGCAGTAAAGAAAGCCAGTATTCCATTGATAGAAATACAATATGCTATGGAACTCCTAGAGGACAGAAACCACATTTTCTGTAGGTTCTATAAAAGCAAGTCTTTCTCATGATTAGAATCTGACATTCTGGGGAAACTCAGCACATTTTTAACTGATGTGACTGATTATCTGCTCTTTTTTTTCCTCTCTCGTCAATAATATCAATCCTGAAGTAGAAAAAAAGAAAAAAGAAAACAAGCAGAATGTCCAAAAACATAATAAGCATTTTTGTTCCTAATTTACTTGAAGAACTAGTTCGAGCCACCAAACACACTTACTGTTGGGTCCCCGCATCTGCCCTCCTTTGGGGCTGGCTGACCAATACAACTGAAGTGAATTTTTGTTTAGAAAAAGTAAGAATTTCTGGAATAACTCCCGTGAATGGTGTGGAAATAACATGCAGGTTTGGAAATCTACTCAACATCTAGGAGTCCTTAGTGTTAGTGTTATTCCTTCAGTGTAGACCAGACTTAACAGGTTGGTGAAAATCATAGGCTTGTGTAGAGATGCACAGTTAGAATCTCCAAACCAGTGGGTCTTGAAGGTGCTTACTGCTGCCACTCATTATACTGCTTCCTCTTGCCTATCCAGAGGGAATTCTCAGCATCTCTGCCTAAAAGAAACTTTTGTACATCAAAGACTTCATATTCAGTGTACATGCATGCTCACACATATCCACATGTACACCACACACACACACACACACACACACACACATGCATACACAGCTTCTAAGAAATGCAACTAAAATACCTTCAAGGGAAGAGATGGAAACATCCAATGTAATGCATTCCCCTCAGTTGACAAATTTGAGCCTAGGAAAGATAAATGTTTTTCCTAAAGTCACATTCTTAACCATAGAGCCAAAGCTAGAGCGCAAATGCCTTCAACTCTTATTCCGTGCTTTTGGGTGTACACTTACTTGAATGGGAGTGGGGTGGTTAACTTCTATAGTTAAGTATTTCCAATGTATATAAAATGATTCCCCTTCTCAATCAGAGCAGCCTGGAGAATTTCACAGTGACCACAACCCTTTGGTCTTACTATACAAGGAAAGAAAGAGAGAGATCACTTAATGACTAACAACTTACTTTTGAAGGCAGTCTGTTGCAGACTTGAGTAACTGATGCACGTGTTTTATTGATTATTTGACCCTTAAGGACAGATATTTTGAAAATAAGTTCAAAACCCTTTTTTAATTTTGCCACTTTATGCAGTGCTTACCCACAGGCTTTAAACATCTGGCTCTTTCTGAAACAGATTGCTTCCAGAGCATTAAGAAAAGAAATAGACATTTTCTTGGCTCAATATTTCTCATCTGCTTTCAAACCGATTTTTTATAGTTAAGTATATTTTACATGCACACTGCATTTCATTTGAGATCTGAGTAGATTTAATCTAAAACTGCAAGATTACTTTATGTTCAAGTGGGTGTGTTCAACCCTGAGTTGCCGAAATGATTTTTTTTCATTGAATGAAGGTTAAAAACACATTCTCTTGAAAGCCAAGATAAACAACAGATTTTGTATGATTTTACAAGTCAGCAACAAAGACTCTCCAAACAACCCAAACTGGTATTAGCCAGTCATAGGTAAAAGTGTTGCAGTGTAAGTTGAAAGAAAAGAAGACCAAGCTTGGTAAAATATGTTTGGTCCCAAAAGACAATTAGGAGGAATGATCAGGAGATGAGAATATTTTCTCATTACGTATTTTCAACCTTAAAGATTTTAGCAAAGCAAATATGTATAAAGAAACTGGAATGGTATTCACCCTGAATTAGAAATCTCCAACTCAGCTTCTTTCCCCCACCCTTTTTTTTTTTTTTTTGCAGCCATTTGTTATCTATGACATGAATTCCTTAATGATGGGAGAAGATAAAATCAAGTTCAAACACATCACCCCCTTGCAAGAGCAGAGCAAAGAGGT